CCGGCGGGCTCGCTGCCCTGCACGGAGCCCCCACGCGGCGGGTACTGTGACGCTGCCCGGGGACCACGGTGGAAGCGCTCTGGGCTGGGCCCTCCGCAGAGGACCCACGGGCCAACGGCCACCCGTGCCCTCAGGAACAGACCAGCAACAGGAGTGGGGGCGGGTCCCCCTGGCGGGCGCCCGGCCCCTGCTGCAGGCCCGGGTGAGTGGTGTCAGTGGCTCCCGCCTCCTCGTGTGACCCAGCCCACCTGCCTCCTGCGCCCTCCTGGGAGCACGCTCCTCCCCTGTGCTGGCTCTCGCCTTACCTTCGCCCTGCTGTGACGTTTGGCTTTCTTTCTGCTCCACACGGCTGCCACTGCGGCTATTAACGGAGCCCCAAGAGGGGCTGTCAGGGGGTTCAAGAAATCCAAAATTTTTTGTCGTATGATCTAGAAAACAGAAAAGCGGCGAGACTGAGAGCAGCGCACCGAGGCCTGCGAGTGCAGCCCACCACGTGGGCTGCTGGGCCGTGGGCCGGGGCCGCCTGACCTCCCGGATGCCTGCGAGGGGCCCGGAGACGGGCCCAGGCTCCCGCAGGCAGGCAGGAGGCCAGGGACTGCCTTGCAGCAGGCGAGAAAGGGGCGGCTAAGCAGGACTGTACTGTGCCCTCACCCCAAAGCCCAGCTTGTCTGAGGCCAGGAAGGGCTCCCATTCCCCAGGACAGATGCTTCTCGGTTTCCAGAAACAAGCGTCGTTAAACTAATGCCACTGCTGAATCAACTTTAGACAGGCATGCAGTGTGGGCCTGGGAATTCGCCACCACCCTCTGCCCTGCGGCGAGCCAGGGATTTTCTTCCAGTCCCGCGTCCTGCCAGCAGCTTCCTCTGGGGATCCTGTGGGGGTCCCCCCGGGAAACCCCTCCCCAATCAGATCCTCTCAACCTGGTGTCTCAGCTCAGCCACTCAGCCAGGCAGGCTCCCCCGGCCCCAGCCAGGCCAGGCTGGGGCACACGCTGCCTCTGCAGCTTGCTGTTACCACGGACGGCTGTGCCTGCGTGTCCACCACGCGACAGCTGCTCGTCTGCTGTGTGAACGGGGCCGACCACAGCACCAGTGGGCGGGTGGGACGAACGCATGCAGGAGCCTCCTGCCTGCCCGTGGCCAGCAACTCCTAGCACCTGGCGGAGCTGGCCATGGGCTCTGGCCATGGGCTCTGGTCCGGAGAGACCACCGGGTCCTTCGGCAGAGCCTCAGTGGAGTGCAACATGCATCAGCCCAGGTCGAAAAGAATCTTGCCAGCAACCCATGAGGTGGGTTCTACTAATCCACTTGTTTTACAAAAGGGACAGGAAGGCTCCGAGTGCGTCAGGTTCCCCGAGTCCCTTTGAGAGAAGACCTAGGCTTTAAGCAGGTTCCCATGGCACCTCTCAAACCGACAGAACAGTCTAGAAGCCTGTGCGCGAAGTATAGCAGCCTGGCATCAGATGGCCTGAGATGAGACTGTCACCGCCCACCGGACACGCATGTGGAAGCAACGCTCACTGCACGCCAACGCCTGCACCCGAACTCGGGCATCACTACAGTACCCGTCTGGA